CTAGGACACAAAAAGGTGGGGCCCCAATGGCATGTCAGGGGTGTAGTTGGACTTCCAACTAAGAATAGAATGGGTTGCGGCCCAGTTGCATGTTGAGTGTGGACTTGCAACTAGTATAGGAAAAAGCCCCCCCCCCTGCCCCAAATTGCATGTCGAGGGTAAAGTTACAACTTGGGCAAAAATGGTCCGCCCCTAGTTACGAGTTCAGGATGGACTTGCAATTGGGACAAAAAAAGGTCGGCCCCCGGTTGCGAGTTGAGAATAGACTTGCAACTAGGACAAAAAATAGGTTGGACCATAGTTGTGAGTCAAGGGTGGGATTGCAACTGGGACAAAAAAGGTCGTACCCCAGTAGTGTGTATAGGGTGGACTTGCAATTGGGACAAAAAAGGTCGGCCCTAGATGTGAATTGAGAATGGACTTGCAACTAGGACAAAAGGAAGGTCGGGCCCCAGTTGCGAATTGAGGATGGACTCACAACTGGGACAAAAAGAAGGTCGGGTGCTAGTCGTGGATCGAGGGTGGGATTGCAATTGATACAGAAAAGGTCGGGCCCTAGTTGTGAGTCAAGTGTGGACTTGCAACTAAAAAAGGTTGGGTCCCAGTTGCGAGTCGAGGTTGGACTTGCAACTGGGAAAAAGGGTCGGGGCCCAGTTGCAAGTCAAGGGTGGACTTGCAACTGAGACAAAAAAAGGTCACACCGCAGTTGCGAGTCGAGGATGGACTTGTAACTAGGACAAAAAAAGTGTTGGACCCCAATTGCAAGTTGAGGGTGGACTTGCAATTGAGGGAAAAAAGGTCCGATCCCAGTTGCGAGTCAAGGGTGGACTTACAATTGGGACAAAGAAGGTTGGGCCCAGCTACGTCGACGATAGACTTGCAACTAGGACAAAAAAGGTTCACCCCAGTTGTGAGTCGAGGTTGGAATATAAATTAGGAGAAAATGTCGAGCCCAAGTTGTGAGTTAATGGTGGACTTGCAATTAGGACGAAAATAGTCGGGCCCCAGTTGTGAGTCTCGGGTGGACTTGCAATTGAGACTGAAAAAGATTCGTCCCCAGTTGCGGCTTGAGGTGAACTTGCAACTGTGACAAAAAAAGTTAGCCCTCAGTTGCAAGTCGAGGGTGGACTTACAACTGGGACAAAAAAATTCGGGCCCAAATTGCAAGTCGAGCGTGGACTTGCAACCGAGACAAAAAAATGTCGAGGCCCAGTTGCAAGTCGAGGGGTGAGATTGCAAGTGGGACAAAAGAAGGTCGGATCCCAGTTGCAAGTTTAGGGTGGACTTGCAACTGGTACAAGAAAAAAGATAGCGTCTATTTGGTGGTGGACAGTCAAATAACAGCGATGCAAAAAACCATGAATTTAGAAAATGAAAAATAAAAAAATGAAAAATAGATAAAAATAAAAAATCATGAATATAAATTTTTTTTGGATTTGAAACAAAAGAAATGAAATAAGAAAAAAGGAAAAAAAGAAACAAATAAAATAAAATAAAAAATAGCTTGTGGCGCATCCCACGCCAAGGCAACGCGTGAGGGCCATGACATGTTGCGAGTCAAAGGGTGGGCTTGCAACATGGAGAACTATGAGTTGAGTTGCGAGTTGAGCATGGACTTATAACTGGGACGACTATAAACTATGAGACCAGTTGCGAGTCAATGGTTGACTTGCAACAAAGATAAAAACAAATTATGATTCCAGTTGTGAGTCAAGGATGGACTTACAACTAGGATGAAAGACAAAAACACAAGCCTAGTTGCGAGTCAAGGGTGGACTTGCAACTGGGATAAACAAATTACGTGATACGGCTCAAATAGCTTTCAGTCGATTTTGTGGGATGTCCCTGATCTTTCACCGGCGCAAAGAGCTAGCAGAATATACTTGATCGGAAGTAGATGAACTAGAGCAGATGTGTGGAAGAACTTGGAGTAGATGGATCGTAAGTAGTAGACGTGGTGTAGTAGTACTAGAGCTAGACTAGATGGATGGATTATGCTAATGATGATTAGTGGCGGCGGCGGCGACGACGGAGTAATTAGCAGATGAGAATTAGGCACCAGCAGACGGAAGGGAAAGAGATGAGATCGATCCTTGCAGGTCAAGAACTAAACTAACTAGTGCCCTGGAAATCAAGTCGCCGGAACACAAGCAATCACGAACCAAATTATGCAACGCAGGAAACAGACTGCTTCATCATTAGATGCATCTGAGATTATTTTCCATAAACTAAGACCTAACTTTTACATGGCCATATGGCCTTTATTTATAAGCACACGCAGGCACCTAGGCTAAGCCCGTAACTAACAGAATCACAAACCGGACTCAACAAGGAAAAAAATATAAAGCATCCAACTAGGATATGTCTGGGACAAAAGTTACAAAACTAAAAACTAGGAGACTTTTACCTTCACGTAAGCTTGCTTTCCTAATTAGAGTTGTACAAGTAGTTGCATGGAGTTCTAAAACAAGGCTCCACTTCATCTAAAGGAATTAGCTCAATAGGCATCTCACCAATACTTGGACCCCTGAATAAAATGTCTTGTTTTTGACTTCCTTGGATATTTCGTGAGCAAGGCATGGAGCCTAATATACCTCTTTGATTTGTTGAATGCAACACTTTCCTTTGACGTAAAGCAGGCACAATATATTTTGATGTATTATCCTCACTATCAGAGTCTCGTTTCGAAGGTATCTTATTTAGCACCAATGGTGAAACAACAATATTACCTAGGGTGACCGCATCATCCTCTCCCCCTTCAAGCGAAACCGTCATCGGTTTCGGGGCGGTCTTCAAAGGCTCATTGCTTAAAGCAAACACATGATCAATCTTGATAGCATTGTTACCCATAGGTTGCAGCACCCATTTGATGTCAACATCTCGGAACACATAAGTGGTAGACCTCCCCTCATGTATAGCATTGCGATCATATTGCCACGGACGACCCAATAACAACTGACACACATCCATTGGCACAACATCTCAAATCACCTCATCGTAATACGTGCCAATATTAAACTTTACGCATACCTTGTGAGTCACCTTCAAACGTCCAGAGTTGTACAACTACTCAATGCAATGTGGTTGCGGATGTGGCCATGCCTTCAGTCCTAAAGCATCCACCACACGCTTGCTTATGATGTTGGTGTAGCTCCCTCCATCAATAATCAACTTGCAACACTTGTTTTTGATCTTTCATTGTGACTGAAAAATTTTCCACCGCTGTCCCGAACTTGGAATTTGATCATCTTTAGCTCGCTGCACCATGATGCATGGCAGATCATCATAATCTAAAGGATAGCACATGATAGGATTAGATTCACTTTCCCCTTCCTTGGGCTCATCAGACTCTGAGTCAATTTTGTCTTCGGAAACATATCCATCATTAACAAGGAGCACTCTCTTCTTGTTCGGACAATCAATGTGTTTGTGTCCCCTACCTCCACATGTGTAACAAACAATCTCACTAGTACTCATAGCAGACTGCGCACTTGAATCAACCCTTGAAGCCACTTTGCCCGCAGCCATAGATTCTTTGCTCATCTCCTTGTGATCGGTGGCAGCTGACCTATAGGGTGAAGCTGGCTTTGACATTATCATCGTCATGCGAATAGGAACGTCACCCCATGCTGAAATTGGTGCGGCCTTTGGAAACTTGCTTGGCTTTGGCTTTGACCCACTGTTCGGCATGCTCCGCTTGATGAAGAAGCTCTTGCATATCATTATACTGCATCAAATCAACACGGTCACGTATATCCTCATTCAGCCCCTCAAAGAAGCGTGTCATTGTTGCATCATCAGACTCATGCACATTAGTTCTGATCATCAGAACTTGCATCTGTTGGTAATACTCATCCACCGTCATGTCTCCTTGAACAAGACGTCGAAGCTTTGTGTGTTGCTCCTTCTGAAAATAAGCTGGCACAAAGCGAGAATGCATTGCACACTTCATCTCACGCCATGATTCTGGTCGTGTGTCATTGCGGTTGAGTTGATCCCACCAAATTAATGCATAACCTGAAAATACAAGAGAAGCAAAACGAATCTTCCGCTCCTCGGATTAACGGTGGTTATCAAAAATCTACTCCACACGCATCTCCCACTCAAGGTACTCCTCGGGACTGGCCTTGCCTGTGAACGAAGGTATAGTAATTTTTATTCTACCAATACCTCCGTCCTCGTCCTCATCACGATGCCGCCTTGGTCCATCATCACGGGGATGAGCATCCTATCGTGGTCGATGAGGCAAGTCACTGCGAGCATCAGAACCATCCTCGAACTCAGCATCATTGTCGTCGTTGGCAATGTCCGCGTCACGGACGTGTAGAGGTGCTTGCTGCTGTAGGGCATGTTGTGCCCTCGCTGGAGCAGCCGCGCCAGTTGCCCTTGCCTCTAGGCGACGGAGCGTTGCCTGCATGGCCTGTAACCCGTCAGCCATCGTCTCGTCGAGGGCCTTCATGCAGTTGTCGAAGTGCTGGTATGTAGCACGCTTGCTTGCGGTTGACATCGTGCGCAGTGATAAACCTGGCGCTCTCTGATACCAACTAATACGTCTCAAATAGCTTTGAGTCGATTTTGTGGGATGTCCCTGGTCTTTCACCGGCGTAAAGAGCTAGCACAATATACTTGATCGGAAGTAGATGAACTAGAACCGACGTGTGGAAGAACTTGGACTAGATGGATCGGAAGTAGTAGACGTGGTGTAGTAGTACTAGAGCTAGACTAGATGGATAGATTATGCTAATGATGATCAATGGCGGCGGCAACGACGACGGAGTAATTAGCAGTTGAGAATTAAGCAGCAGACGGAAGGGAAAGCGATGAGATCGATCCTTGCAGGTCAAGAACTGAACTAACTAGTGCCCTGGAAATCAAGTCACCGGAACACAAGCAATCACGAACCAAATTATGGAACGCAGGAAACAGACTGCCTCATCATCGGATGCATCTAAGAATATTTTCCATAAACTAAAACCTAACTTTTACATGGCCATATGGCCTTTATTTATAGGCACACGCAAGCACCTAGGCTAAGCCCATAACTAACAGAATCACAAACCGGACTCAACAAGGCAAAAAAATAAAAATAAAGCATCCAACTAGGATACGACTGGGACAAAAGTCACAAAACTAAAAGCTAGGAGACTTTGAACTTCACGTAAGCTTGCTTTCCTGATTAGAGTTGTACAAGTAGTTGCATGGAGTTCTAAAACAAGGCTCCACTTCATCTGAAGGAGTTAGCTCAATAGGCATCTCACTAATACTTGGACCCCTGAATAAAATGTCTTGTTTTTGACTTCCTTGGATATTTCATGAGCAAGGCATGGAGCCTAATATACCTCTTTGATTTGTTGAATGCAACACTTACCTTTGACGTAAAGCAGGCACAATATACTTTGATGTATTATCCTCACTACCAGAGTCTCGTTTCAAAGGTATCTTATTTAGCACCAATGGTGAAACAACAATATTACCTAGGGTTACCAAATCATTACGTGCCTAGTTGCGAGTCGAGGGTGGACTTGTAACTAAGACAAGTATATAAAACAATGATATGACTTGAGAGTTGAGGGTGGATTTGCAACTGAGACGGAAAACAAAACATATCTCAATTGCGAGTCGAGGGTGGACTTCCAACTGGGACAACAACAAACAATGGGCCCAGTTCCGAGTCGTGGGTGGACTTGCAACTGGGAGAACAACAAGCTATGATCCCAGTTGCGAGTTGAGGATGGACTTGTAATTAACACAATTATGAAAACATTGAGCCCAGTTGCAAGTCAAGGATCAACTTGCAACAGGGATGAAACAAACTACAACCCCCGTTGCAAGTCAAGGGTGGACATGCGATTGGAATGAAAAAACAAAAAAACACATGCCTAGTTGCGAGTTCAGGGTGGGCCTGCAACTGGGAGAACTACGAGCTAAGTTATGAGTTGAGGATGTACTTATAACTGGGACAACTACAAACTATAAGACCAATTGCGAGTCAAGGGTCGACTTGCAACTGGGATAAAATAAACTACAACCCCGGTTGCGAGTCAATGATGGACTTGCAACTAGGATGAAAGACATAAACACAAGCCAAGTTGCAAGTTGATGGTGGATTTGCAACTGGGATAAAGGGTTGTGCCTAGTTGCAAGTCGACGATGCACTTGTAATTGGGTCAAAAAAATATAAATGTCAGACCTAGTTGCTAGTGAAGGGTGGACTTGCAACTGGCACTAAAAAAGAATGGCCTAGTTGCGAGTCGAGGATATGCTTGGGGCAAAGGGTCATGTGCCAGTCGCAAGTCAAGGGTGGACTTGCAACTGAGACAAAAATAAGGTCAGACCCAGTTGTGACTCAAGAATGGACATACAACTGGAACAAAATAAATCAGACCGCAGTTGCGAGTCAAGTATGGACTTGCAATTGGGAAAAAATGACCAAATTGCGAGTCCATGATGAACTTGCAACTAGGACAAAAAATTAGGTCAAGAACGGTTGCAAATCAAGATTGAGCTTACAAATGAGAAAAAAATATGTCCAAAATTACGAGTGGACGGTGGACTTGCATTTGGGCCAGAAAAACATGTCGAGTCCAACTACAAATCGAAGGATGGGCTTGCAACCGAGCAAGAAAAAAGGTTGGACCAACGAAAAAAATCCAATGCTCGACTTGCCCCTCCTACTCGTGTCGGCTCTACAAAAAAAACAAAGAGGGATGGAACGAGAAAGAAAGAAAGAAGGCAACAATGGAATGGATGTTATCAAGAAACATTGACCAGAATGAACATGTCTCTTGTAATTCTACCATGCAGTCGGTAACAAACAACAACAAAAGGCCATGAGAACCGTAAGGAAACAATAAAAGCATACCGAACAACAAATGAGCCTAAATAGACCAATAACCCGATAAACTGGACATCATGACAACGTGGCCTAGAAATAACACAACAAAATGGAGTCCCAGAATGTCGCGAGTAATGAGCCGAAAAAGTGTAGCCAAACTGGTCAACAAAAGGACGCGCAACAAACAAATAGCAACCAACAAAGCGGGGGTGAGCGCTTGCATCAAAATTATAGAAAACTAAATCAAATGGTGGCAAAATTAGATGGGACATCATTTCGTATAAGAAAGATATTCACGAATTTAAAAGATCTTCGAAAAAATTTAAAAATATATTTTCAGTTTTTTATGAAAATATTCAGAAAAATATTTTTCACGAATTTGAAGAAAAATAGAATAAAAAATAAAAAGGAAATAAATAAAATAAAAACAGACACAAAAAGAAAAACTGGATATATATATAATTGAGAAAAGAAAGAAAATTAAAAGGAACAAAACAGAAATTTGTAGTGGAGGAAAGGGAATGGGACATGGAAGAGAGAGTGACAATAGAGAGTGAGAGGAAATCGATCTACACTGTTGGTTTCCATGGATTGGCGTTAGACTTCCAAATCTCTACAATAAACAAATAGACAAAAAAACAAATGGACAAAAAAGGGCCGAGCCCATCCTACCTGCAAATGGATTACAGTCTGATAGAGAAAAGAAAGAAAAAAGGCCGAATGAATGGTCGTGACAGAGGGAGCGAAGCGCACTACAGAACACAACGACCTGAAAGCAGACTCGCACGAGATTTACAATACAAGTAGATCCAACGGTCTACAATTTAGATGCGAGATAGCTATTTCACATCTAGATGTGAAATAGCAATCCCGTAATCTCAATAGGGAACACGACTTTTTCAGACTCATAACTCCTCGGGCATCTTTATTTGCCTGCATCGTTTTTATCACTTTGCATATTTGTCCCAATTGGACCTGATTGAGCAAATACATACAAAAAACTAGCATCCACACATCGTTTGGTTGCTTGCATACCTCATAGCCTAGCTGCGAAGACGATAAAGGGTTTCCCCCACTTTAGATTATAGAGCAACCATCCGATACAACGAGCTTACTGGAGCCGCAACACAAACAAGCCCAAAAAAAGGAGAGAAAAAGAGAAACAAGTGCCGACAACGACAGATCGATGAAACAAAGATGGCCGGCGACCGCTGCACCCTCCGGAGAAGTACCACCATGCTTCTAGCACTCCGAGGCATCGCCTTCAAGAGGGAATGTGACGACGACGCCAGTGCTGCCCGGACAAGTCCAAGGGTTTCCCCCGATACGTAGAGGGCAGTGGGGAAGGGGTATATCCGACGCCCTTCAGGAAGGTCCGGCGATGCTAGCAGGCGTCACCGCATCGGTGACGGACGAGCCACCAGGGATTTATCCCAACCCAAACAACGGCCACCACCTCGGACGATCTGGAGTGCTCCACCAGAACTGTCGCCCACCAGCATGTGCCACCATGGTCACTGAACCATCATAGCCATCTCTCTGAGCCACCGACATGAGACCTGGAGGAGGGATGAGGAGCCAACGGGCTCGGGGGCATCCGCAACTCAGCCGACGGGAGGGGACTACCACCGCCGCTGCCGTGGAGCCAACCGATGTGACGACAGGGGCTTACCAGGCCCCCATAGGCCCACCCAGACCCCAAAGGATCCGGATAACCCCTGCCGCCATGCTACAGCACATCGACCGACGAAGCCGCCACCACCTGCAGCCCCCGACACCGCGCCACCTCCACCAGGGAGCCACGCCGCCGTGCGCCGGAGTGCCGCCCCGCCCCAACCCAGATGAGGCCCAGATCTGTGTGGAGCGGAGGCCGGCGGCCAGCCGCACCAGCATGTGCCCCGCGACCAACGGCCGTGTCGCCGCATCAGGATCGCCCGCAACCCATGGACCTCGCCGCCAAGCCACACCATCACCAGCCGAGGAGCACCGCCGACAACCACCATCGCCCGAGCAGGGGGGCTGCGCACTAGGACAGTCCGACCCGCTGCCGATGGCACCACGCGGGCAAGGCCCGGTGGCGTGCACTGGTGGCGGCGGGAGTAGGGAGGAGCAAGGGCGCGCGCTGGAGGGGAACAGGGAAGGTGCCCCCGGTCGCCTTGCTAGGGGACGCGAGGGTACGGGGGAGGGGGAAAGGGGGGGAGGGAGGGTGGGGGCGAGAGCGAGGGCTAGCGGTGGCGGGTGTCGGCCGCCGCGGAGGCTACCCGCGATGGGGGTGCCGGCAGCGACACAGGTGAAACCCTAGCGGAACCCTCAACATCATCACAAGAGAAAACCGCCTAGCTGCAAAGAAACACAAGTCACACTTGACTTGTGGGATTGTTCAGACAGAAACACAAGTCATGTTGTTTGGTAAGATTCAAGACATGTTGTCTGATAACCTCCTTTCGGAGTGGTGGGCTTAGCAGCATGCTCTCAAGGAGGACAGAGATAGC